CCAACATTTAAAAATCAGAAGAGTTTATATAAAAATAACTTCCTTTGAAAAAACTGAGGCACTGTTCCCATGTGGCCACTATTTTCATTGCTGAGGAACCATTGCCCTTCATAACTAGGATATTAAAGAAAAGATGCTTGGGATACCCCAAGTTACTTAATCATTAGGATTTACATTTTTTAAGCTTAACTCATCAAGAAAACTAAGTGGGGACTGTTATCTCACCCAGTTAGCTGAGCCTAGAATAGCTTTTCTTGAGAATCTTCAAGTATCCCAGAAGTGGAATCAGAGGAGGGGGTATCAGTTCAGAGGACTAAGTTGATGAATAATTTGCATTTGTTTTCCATAAGGAAAACAGGAATTATTAGGATAACACAAAATGTGCCCATTTTACTGCAGTACAAGTCGAGGTCAGAAGCAGAACCAGAATGTGCTCGTAATAATCACTGTAATGCACCTTTTCCTCTTCACATGGTGCCCCACCTTTGGGAGGTGTGGCAAGGATAGAAGCTGGACCCACGTTTCCTTTGTACCGGACCAGGACCCAAGATTGGAGGAAAGAACTTGGGCCTCACCTGGGCCAAACGTTCTCTCTGCTTACCAGCAGTGTGCATGGGAGCAGGGGTTTTACTTGTGTGGAAAGAACATGTTTCAGGCCACGTGTGGAATGTATTTTGCTATAGCTGGGTAGCTCCCTGCATAGCAGTGTCTACGAGGTGGTGTTTGGTGCAGTATTGAGCTGGGCTAACCTGTCAGAGCAAGGCATCAGGAGAGCAGATAATGTTAGGTTAAGACATTGTGAGTAATTGTTTATTCATCCCTCTATAAATTCATTTACTCAGCAAATATTGAGTGCCTGTGATATTCTAGACATCAGCAATAAGTAGGGAAGAGAAGCAAGCAATTTCCCTACCCTTGTGAAATTTATATTCTGTAGGGGAAGGCTGACATTAAATAGTTTAAATAGATAAGCAGGATAGCTACATAACTGTGTGTTGTGAGGGCAATGAGGGAAATAAAGAAATGAGGTCTTTGTCAGAGAAGGGCTTTCTGATGAAATCCTACTTAAGCTAAGACAACAGCAGATGTGTTAGTCAGCCAATGTCAAGGACAGAAGAAGAACAGAGGGAACAATGAGTACAAAGGCCCAAAAAGGACAAAAAGACTTGGCCTGTTTAAGCAACAGAAGGGAGGCCAGCAAGGGAGAGAGTGATATTGGACAGTGTGGGTGAGGCTAGATCATGCAGAACCTGTCACCTTTGCTTATTACCTGGGTACTGACATAGGTCACTGCCTGAAATGACTGTGGCCTGGAATAGAGCTAATGCATTGAGAACAAGAGAACTGGAAGAGGTTCTTTTGTTTTTGTTTGTTTGGTTTGGTTTTGGGTGGTGCCAAGGTTGGAACTCAGGGCCTTGTCCACTTGAGCCACAACTCCAGCCCTTTTTGCTTTTAGGTTCTCTTTCCGAGAGGATCTTGCTCTTTGCCTGGACTGGCCTGTGACCACAATCCCTCCGCCTATGCCTCCTGCATAGCTAGAATTGCAGGAGCTCACAAAGAGCTCCACGTTTATTTGTTGAGATGCAGTCTCACTAACTTTTTGCTCGGGCTGGCCTTGACCCATGACGCTCCTGGTTTCTGCCTCCTGAGTAGCTGGGATTATAGTCATAAACCACCATATCTAGTTTAGAAGAATTTAAGATATATTTTAGAGGTAAGAGTGACAGCACTTAGTAACATATTGAAAGTCAAGAATGAGAAAAGATAAAAACCAAGGATGACCTGTAGGTGTCTGACTTGAGCAGCAGAGTGGATATTGGTGCCATTTTCTGAGGTCTGAAGGGCAGATGGTTGCCATATCTCACTCAATAAGGACATTGAACTCAATAAAGACATTGAACTCTTGTCTATACCGACTCACTTTTTCAGGTTTTTTTAAAAATCTATGAGATGCAGCTAATTTTCCAAGACCTCTTCCAGATTTGCAATTAAATTCTCATCTAGATTAAATTGTTGATATGGAAACATTGCAAGTTTCAGTGTTAAGGCTCTATGAAGAGTAATATGAAATAAATCATATATCTCAAAACGTGTAGACAGAATATTGGGAGTGTTTAAAAAAATACGAAAAAGAAAGGTGATTTTGTGCATTTCTCTTGGGTGAAATGTTTTTCGGGAGTTTCTCAGCAACAGAGCAGTTTGTTTTGTCAAGTAAAATTGGATTGTAAACAATGTCTTATAATTCTGGGCTAACACTGCAAAGCCCAAAGGATAAATTGCTTATAGCAAAGTGACCTACTTTGTTTCTGACCATTCTTGGTCCTCCTTCCCACCCAGGGTCTCTGCACTGCTCTGCATAGATTATTTCTTCAGACCCACATAGGCCCACCCAAGATATGGGCAGGTTTTTCTGTAGAGAGGAAAGTAAAGACATTTCAGTTATCCATAACACTCTGTTTCTGCCATCTGGGTACAGAATCGCTAGGATTACAGGCGTCAGCCACTGGTGCCTGGCAACTCAGGCTCTTTACCTGTCTGCTGAACCATCCCCCGTTCCTTACCTTGACCCCAAGAAGAGTTGCAAGATGGCTGCCACAGTTCTGGCAAACTCACAGGCCAATATTAAGCCAAAGAAATGGATCATTTTCTGCTGTGTCTCTTTTAGTAAAAGAGAAAGCTTTTCCCAGAAGCTCCTGGTAGACATCATCTTGAGTCCTTGTCCATGGATTGTCCAGTTACCCCCACCAGATACAAGGGCATTATTCCAGACCTTTCCCATTCTCCCTTGTTCCCCTCATTCTCTATGTTCTGCCTATCTTGGTTTAAAAATTCATTCCTCTATGTTTACTCCACAAATTCAAATCCTCACTAACTCTGTTCTCACTGCTTCCACTTCATCCATCTTCTGTCACTGGAATGAACTTTCAAAATGAATCTCATCTTGTTACTATCCCACTTAAAGCCCTCCAGTGATTCTTAATCACAGATAGGATTAAACTGCAATTTTTTTTCTAGTTGCAATAACGACTCCTCTTCCCCCACTTTAAAAAAAAGTCTGACATGACAGCTCAATGCAGCTAACAGAGGATGTAGAGCTGCTGTGGTTGAAATGAGGGTGGGGAAAGGCCCAGACCTCAGCCAAGTGGACCCCTTTGCTTCCTGCACATGGAGGCCAAAGCCTTTCCCTGGATCCCTATAATATAGGTAGAAGAAAATGGCTGTATTTAGGCAGTTAGGCAGCTGCTATGGACCTCAGGAGTGCCAGCCAGTCTAATGACATAAACTTAAGTTGTGTAGAAGCCAAAGTCAAAGACATTCTCACCCGGAGAGCATAGAGAAGGGAAGAGGGCCCTGTGCAGAGAGCTGGCTGTGTGAGTTCTATTGATGTAATGCCCACAGCTGTGCAATATCTAGTAAAGCGATGTTTCTGTTTCATCTTGCAAACTCTAAGACCGTGCTTCATAGGAGAAGGTATGCTCTGATTGTGCCAGAAAAGTTTACCCTAGCAGATGCTTCAGAACAAAGTGAGGATGCTTGCAGGCCAAATGCAACCAATATCAAAAGCTAAGAGTAATCATTTCTAGTATGTGAATTGTGCTTGTGTTTACATTCTTATTCTCACAGTCATTTTTTAAAAGGATAGCCCAGACATGAGCGCCTCTCTCTCTCCTTCCCCTCTTCCTTCTTCTTCTCATCCTCTCTCTCTCTCTCTCTATCTCTTTCGTGTGTGTGTGTGTGTGTGTGTGTGTTTATGTGTGTGTATGTGTGGTGTGTGTGTGTGTGTGTGTGTGTGTGTGTGTGTTTTCAGAGGACATTTCATATTAGAAACCCTGAGTTACCCAACATTTCATGGGCTTCTATCTCCGGTTAGGGCAGTTTTGAGTTAAGTCAGCTGAAGGGTAGAATTTCAAACAGAGTTATAATGACAGAGTATGTTAATGTTCTAACTATTCTCCCTGCTCTGGATATCAACCTGTTTATTCTTTATGTCTATTTAAGAATTCAGTCTTTTTGTTGTTCTGTGAAGACTAAAAGGCTGCTTAAATGCAGTTTACATTCTTTTTGTTGTTTTTGGAGGTACTTGCACCTGAACTCAGGGCTTTGTACTTGCAAGGTAGGCACTCTACTGCTTGAGCCACACCTCCAATCCTATGTGCTCTGGTTGTTTTAGAGATGGGGGTCTCCTTTTTTTGCTCATGCCAGCCTGGACCACGATCCTCCTATGTAAGACTTTCTGCTATAGCTGGGATGGCAGGTATGTGGCACTAAGTCCAGAATTTTCCTTTGAAATGTGTTTTGCGAACTTTTTTGCCCAGGCTGACCTGGAACCACTGTCCTCCCTAACTCAGCCTCTCAAGTAGCTAGGATTACAGGCATGAGCACCTGCACTGGCTCAGTTTGCATTTTGTAGCATATGGAATATTAACGAAGACTAATTTATGATCCTAATGCTTTTATCCATTCTCGTTTCATTTCTGCCATCACCATGTTTTTCTCCTTCCCCTTCATAATCTGCCCTCATCACAGCTGGAGCTGCCCTGTTTCTGGCTCCCAGTCTTTGCTGTTAGATTTTGTAATAAGGAGGCTCGGCCCATCATGGCACTAGCAGCTGCATCGCAGTGCCACAGGATATAGCTCTCGGCATCTGACATTTCTTGGCCCTTCCAGCACCCCTGCCTGAGGAGCCCAGCACACCTCCTACCTACGCCTTTCAGTTGGGGCTCCTCAGAAACTTAGCACCAGTGAAAAGCTGAAAATATGTACGAATAGTGTGGGACTTCAAAATGATTTTAATTCTCTTCTAATCCTTTTAAGTATTTTGTTTAAAAATTAAAAGTAGTAGAAACAAAGTGATTTAGGAAAATGATAATGTTATCAGTGCCACTCTTAACATGGTTAAGAAGATTGACTGTCAGATGCAATCAGTGTTGCTGAGTGAAGAACAGTGATCGTTCCCAGAGTAGGTAGAGTAAAATTCTTTCCTAACAGGAGTGGTTTTAATGACAGAAGAGTCTGGTAACCAAGAGAAGCAATTGAACCTTGATGAATTGCTGCACTTCTTCACTGCTTCTTTCTTCTATTTTGCAGGTACAACGTGTTTAATAGCTCTACTATCAGACAAAGACCTAACAGTGGCCAATGTGGGTGACTCGAGAGGAGTTCTATGTGACAAAGATGGGAATGCCATTCCCTTGTCTCATGATCACAAACCTTACCAACTGAAGGAAAGAAAGAGGATAAAGAGAGCTGGTGAGCATGGGATCACTTCTGAGGAATGTCTGCCATCTTGTTTGGTGGACATGGCACTTGCCCAGAGTAGAGGATAAAATGTGTTCAGTACCCAGTGATTAGTTGGCGACCACAGAGACTGCTACTGAGATAGCTGTGACTTGACTGTATAGTGTTTCCTACCAAATGAATGCCACTGAATTTGTCCCCTCTCATGGTCAAAGATTCCAGAGGGCCTTTTCCATTTTAAAGACTAATAAGATCTTTGGGCCCTGCTTCCTGCCTCATTCTCACCTCTCGTCATACCCTGCTTCCCTCCAAGCATGCCTAACACCTAATCATTCCCCAAGTGACCCTTGTTTTTGTACATCTGTGCCTTTGTAAGTGCCATTCCCACTGTCTAGAGGGTGAAAATTCCTTGTCCCTTAAGATGCAGCATCAGGGTGTCTGTTTGGAAGCCTTCCCTGTCACACTGTGTGACCCAGATCTCCCAGTCTGGGTTGGATGCTCTTTTTGTCCTTCCTTATCATCCTATATGGACCTCTTAGGTCTCCTCTCGCAATGCATGCATGTACCTGGCTCTCTCATCTGGCTTGCCTTCCTGACTCTGAATTCTTTGAAGACAAGAACTCAGTCTTGTTCGTCTCCATACCTAACACAGTGACTGGTATAGGTAAATATTTTAACTTTTTTTTTTTTTTTTTAGCAGTACTGAGGTTCACACTCAGGGCCTTATGCTTGCTAGGCAGGAAGTCCATCACTTGAGTCATGCCCCTGGAACCCTAGTAAGTATTTTAGAGTGGGGTACAGGGGTCCCAATATTCACTCACTTATTCCATCTCTGCTCCCCCCAGAAAAAGCCCTCAGGAAGTCTACATTCTCAAATTGGCCTAGGGGTGGGAGATGGAGTAGGTAGATGGTAAAAAATTAAATAAGTTACATAGTATATCACAAGGTGGTAACTGCTGTGGAGAGACATAAAGCAGGTGGGGAATGGAGAGTGTCAGGGAGTTGCAGTTTCAAGTGGGTGGTCCAAATGGGTGGGCTTCTTTAAGTTACTTGGACAAACACTCTAAGGAAGTTTATCAGTTAATTATTGAATTTCCATAATTATTCTGGGCACCAGTGGCTCATGCCTATAATCCTAGCTACTTGGGAGTCTGAGATCAGGAGAATCATGGTTTACTTCGTGAAACCCATTTCCAAAATAACCAGAGTAAAATGGACTGTAAGTTTGGATACAGCAGTAGAGCACCTGCTTTGCAAGCATGAAGCCCTGAGTTCAAACTCCAGTCCCACCAAAATAAAAATTTCCATGTAACTAGATCTGGGAGATTCCTTTATGCCTGTGAGAAAAGAATTTCTTCACTCCACAGACTGACAACCTCATGACATGCGAGGCCACAAACCAGCTGCCAGAGTGGAGCAAGTGGGATGCTCTGACCTGCACGGGCCCCGCTGTCTGGTTAATCTGTAGAGACTCTCCATCTCTACAGGCCAGCCTCTGCCTGAAGAGTAAATGAAGTGAACCTAATGAACATTTGTGTTTTCACAGTAGGAAGCTGTGCTGTTGAGTCAAAAAGTGTTGAATTTTATTACAACTCTTTGCTTCTGTGTCTGCTTGTAATGCAGAATAATTTTGAATGAAATCTTTGACCAGGTTTCCTGCTGATGAGATGGCAAAAACAATGATTCAGGGCATCCATCACACTTTGATGAGCTCCAGAAGCAAAATACTCTGGCTTTTTTTATCATCTCCCCATGAGGGTCCTCTTGAGCCTGGACTTGACACAGTTAATGCTTGCATAAGCACAGGCAAAGGCATGTACACAAAGCTGAAATGCCACCTTAGCATCCAGCACTGTACATGTCACCAACATTTAATCCTCCTCTTCCTGCTCGTACCCACCACCCACACCCTCAATCTACAGTGATTTCTTATAGAAGCAAATTTGGATACCATCTCCAAGGAGATTAATCTAACCTGTTCTATTCTTTTACATAATTTGATGAAGGGTATATTTTACAGGAGGGCTTAAGGAACAGTGATTAGATTTACCATCTTTGTGTGTTTTCTCTGATGCCAGCCTTCCTTTCAGGACATGTCTCCCCCTCTTGCTTAACACAACAATAAACACCAGTAAGCCTGAACCAAACATTGTACAAGTTGGTCTTTCTGTGTCCACTACTTATGCTGTTTTCCATAATAACAGCTTCAAAGTCTTCTGCCGTTTGTGTTCACTCTGTACTAGGAGCCAAGCCTAGTGCTTTATATACATTTTTTTTAACATGTTACAAGGTTGACGTTATCCTCATTTTATAGCCAACAAACTGGACCTCAAAGAAGCTTGTGGGTCCAAGGACATATAGTGAATGATGAGACCAGAATTGAAACCATGACTATCTGACTTCAGAGCTCTTGTTCTTACCCACTAGACCTCACAACCTGGAACATCCTCCATCCCTGCTTTAATGCTCATTCGTCCCTGGTCATCACATCCACAAACCACACCTCTTCCTATAGCATTTAGCAGGTAGTCATCCCCCCATAAGAATTCTACCTTGTGTGATAGCATTTGATATCTGTGGCTTATCATTTCTTTCAGACTGTCTACTTCTTAAGAGAAAGCTCTATATCTTATATAACTTCATATTCTGTAACTTGCCTTTCATGAAGTAGGTATTTAATAAATACCTATTGGACAAACAAGTGAACAAACAAAGTTCTAACTCCTTTAAGGACAAAAATAGTAGATAACATTATTTAGTGCATATTATGTTCAGTCATTGTGCTAAATGATTTATATGGAATAAATCCTTGATTTACCACAACAACACAGTAGATGAGACAATGTCCCCATTTTGCAGCCAAGAAGATCAACGATCAGAAAAGAAGTTCTCATCTAAAGTTACACGTAACTAGAAGTGATAGAATCAGAGATCAAATCTAAACAGCCTGACGTGAGCCTTTAACAAGCATATTTTGTATGCTTTCCTTAATACCAATCCTATTTGGGGGGCTTCTTTGAGATCTGTATAGGTGTGCCCAAGAGTGGCCTCAGTCTGGCTGATTATTCCAGAGATCCCTCTGGTGCCTTCAGCATTCCTTTACTACTCTCTTCAAAACTCCGCACAAGTGTTCTCATCAGTCACTGAGCTGCCACAGTGTGCTAAGTAAAACCGATCCCCTACCCTTAATATTCTTGAAAACCTTAGAAGTGCCAAGAATGAGGAGATGAGGATCTACTGGCAGGTTTTTAAACCCCAAGCCATGGTCCTGGTGGTGACAAGGGAGAGGGGGATGACCTGTGGCCCAGCTCCCAGGCACTAGCACAGCTTGTTACACATTCACCCTAACTGTACTGGGTGTGGGAGACAGATGTCAGCTGGGCAAGCTAACAGGCTCGCTCTGTCTTTCCAGGTGGTTTCATCAGTTTCAATGGCTCCTGGAGGGTCCAGGGAATCCTGGCCATGTCTCGGTCTCTGGGGGATTATCCACTGAAAAATCTCAACGTGGTCATCCCCGATCCAGATATCCTGACCTTTGACCTGGACAAACTCCAGCCCGAGTTCATGATCTTGGCATCAGATGGCCTGTGGGATGCTTTCAGCAATGAAGAAGCAGTTCGATTCATCAAGGAGCGCTTGGATGAACCTCACTTTGGGGCCAAGAGCATAGTTTTACAGTCATTTTACAGAGGCTGCCCTGACAATATTACTGTCATGGTGGTAAAGTTCAGGAATAGCAGCAAAACAGAGGAGCAGTGAACCCTTCCTGGGTCTCAGCCACCTTACGCTGCAGGACTCTCAACACACTGGTCTCTTTTAATGTAGTGAAAATGTGTGGGAGTCGTCATTAGGATCATTGTCCCAAACACTGACTCCCCCTCCCTGGTGGTCTTAGGTCTATACTGAGTGGTGAACAGAGACACCCTGGCTGGAAAATGGTTCCTTCATATTTTCCCAACTCTTTTATCAATGTCCAAAATATTTAAATAGGTAGTATAGATCCACATGTGTGAGGTGAACGGCAGCTGTGTCATGTATTCCCCTTTTAAGATTCAAGATCCCCTTCACAGCCCGCCAGCCATCAACCTTGATGTCCTCTCTAGACCAGCGGTCAGGGCAGGCCTCCTGTGCTGCAGGAGAAAGGCCACTGCACTGCCAGTGAGTCAGGATGGCATGGCAGTGCCCTCTACCTAGGGACAGAGTGGTTCAAAGATGCTTTGTCCTCCTGAGCTTGCATTTTCTGCTCTACGGCAGCCTGGAAGCAGATTTGAAATGATTTATTCTTTGTCTCCTGTTCTTGGAGACTGAGGGAAGTGGAGGGTATGGGAGATCAGTGGCAGCCACCTGCATAGCCAAAATAACCCCGCCCCTTCACTCCTTTTATTAGTTAGCTAAACTCCGTGTGCACCTGCCCAGTTCTTTGTGTGTCTCCTCTCATCGTGCATGACCTCACCATTTGCTTACCTCTTCCTGCGTGTAATAAGCAGCTGTTTACTTTTCCACTAGACACCACAATTTGTTGTGGGGGGAATGTGAAAAGCAAATCACAATCTATTCCTTCCATCTTTAAGGGTGGATGGGGGAGAGTGAGCCCCTTGCAAAGTTTGTTTGTACTGAGAGAAGCAGTGCGCTGGTCAGACCACCATGCTGCCAGGTTCTGTGCAGTTTTCCTACCCCAAGCTCAGTAGCTCTCAACTGTCTTTTAAGCAGTGATTGGAGAAGCAGCTTAGAACCGCATGCATCCTTTGACATCAGGAGCAGAGTTCCCAGCCACCATGCTTGGGAATTTGGCAAACTGCTTCTCCTCTCTTCTCAGCTGTGGAAAGGCCTTTCACACTTGGTTGTAAATCCCCATCCACACCAGGTCCCTTCCCCAGACAAACACAATCTGCCCTGGGTAGCCTTAAGGGAAGACTGCACATGTCCTAGGGGACCTGTGTGCTGTGGCAGCAAAGCTGGCTGAAAATTCAGTGAAGAACCCATAATTATAAGTGGCCCATGATCACTTGAGGGCCTGGCTTGCTGCTCTCTGTTTCCTATCGCCAAAGTCATGTTTTTTGGGTTTTGTTTTTTTTTTTTCTAACCTCAGTGTTTTATGTTGATTTATGGAAAATCTGGATTTTCCTTTTGCCCGGCTAAAGCAGCTCAAACAGCCAAACAAGAATTTCCTTGCATCCCCACCCCAGGGGGCCCACCTGGTTTTGTTCTTTCCTAGTGGACATTTGTCCACACAGCCTCTGGAAGGCCTATTCACTGGCCGCCTCCTACGTGGGTGCCATGCCCCTGTGTCCTGCCCTCTGTCCTCCTTCAGCTGCAGGGCCTCCCCGAAAGAGAGACCTCTGGAGAGTGAAATTAACTTGTGCTGCTAAGGACTGCCATCTGTGGTGACTTTTCCAAGAACTTACCTTTCTTTGACTGCCTTGAGAATTCATAATGATGTCCCAAGAGATTTGCTTACTTTTGTGTACTGTATTTCCCAACTTTAGAATTAGAATCTTGGTTATTGCTTTTTAGCCATAGACTGTTTTCAGTACAAAATATCTGCCACCAGTTTAGATTTAAGCTTTTGCCTGTGTGTATTGAGGGAGGGTGGGGGAGGGGGATGTGGGGAAATCAATGAGGTTGCTGTCAGGTGTGGGAGGTCAGGCCAGGTGACTGAGTTTGCTGGGAGATAGGACTCCAGTCATCACTGCCCACCATCTCACTGAAGGTCCAGCATTTACAGTTCACAGTCAACTTTCCTTTGTTATTTTTGCTCAACACAAAAATGCAGAGTAACAAGGAAAGGTGTTTTTAATTTCCACATTTACTTTTATTTTCTAAAATGAAAATAGTAATGTTTTGGTAAAGATGAAAAAGAAAAGCTACCAAACTATTAAGTGGGTGTTTGTTTACTAAGCAAAATTTCTTAACATACAGGGCTTTGTGCATGGGTTACATTACTTTCCCATTGAGCTTTACAAGGCATCTTCTAAATTTTGCTTTGTAGCATTGATTTATTTGTGATTTTAACCAAATAGAGTGTATATCTCATACTCCTCTGCCTCTTTTCCACCCACTATGACTTGTAGACTTTTTAAGGTTAGATGTTCTAAGCAAAATAGTAACAGTTTGATGAATAGTTACGTGTGAAGTCAGAGTATTCTGTTCCCTTCCCCTGTCCTCCTGGAGCCCTCTCTCCCAGCCCTCGTCCACTTGTCAGGTTTCTGCAGACAGCATTCCTGGGATGCCCAGGGTGCACTGGCTGCTACCCTTCTCTAAAGGCTCCAGAAGGTTGAGTCTAGGTAAAAGGGAAATTGATGTGAGAAATTTGCACGTGAAGCTTCCCTAAACAGCACTGCCAAAGCTTTGGAATTGTCAACCGAGGCTGCCCAGACTCCCTCACTAGCCTGAGTTCAAATTGCCAACAGTCCCCATGGTGCCAAATTTTGGTATGGTTTTAGTCGTTTAGAAATGCAGCTGGGAGTGACCACATGCTTCAAACCCCAGCACAATGCCAAGGCCAGGTCCTCATAAAGCACGGCTCTGCTGCTGTTCCACTGGCTATTTGTACTCTTCAAATGGGGTGGGGCTTTTTGTTTTTAAACCTACTATGTTTGCAGTTCTTTCATCATAGAAATAAACTATACTTAAGTAGAAAACGCCAAAGCTGGTTCCCAAGATCTGCTTTTTGTTACGTGACCAACTTGCCGAAGGCAATTAACTTGGAGTGGCTGCGTACCCCAACATGACACGCATATGTTCTCGTTACTGATCAGTGGCTGCCTTCTGATGCTTGTTGTGGATTGAAGGTATTGGCCTCTTGAACAGCAGTGTTACAGAGAGCATTACAGTGCAGAAGTATATGTAAGCTGGGTAATTAAAACACCTATTTCATGCAAGTATAATGCTTTTGACATTTTGCACAAATGGCAAACAAGATTGCATGACAGTGATGGCTCATCATTTCAGCCCTATCTGAAGCAGTTCTGGGAAATGGATTCCACTATTGGATTGGATCACTGGGGTATCTGGAAATGTATGAGCGGGTGATCACATTTTTCTTTGCCAGGTATATCTCGGTTTTCCTGATTTTTTTTCACCCTCAACTGTTGGCAGATCTAACTTTCTTGCTGCTGTCAGTAGAATGCTTGCATTCAGAAAGGGTAACATTTCGTTATACATTTGAAAGTATAAGAAAACATACTTATTTTAAAACTTCATTTTCCATTGACTTCAAACTTAATTTTCTCCTTTTGACTGATCTTTCCTGAACAGTCTCTCAAAATTGTCCTCGCTTGTCACACAGCATTCCCGATCCAGTTCTAGAAAAATGACGTGACTGTTAGATGTCATGCTGGTCCTGTTTAACTGTATCTGGATTTGAGCTAGTTAGTGGCACACTGCAGGAATAGAGGAATCTAGTGTTCCCCAACATGTGTACCAGAGCACACGAGTTCCTAAAACGCTTTTCCAAACATAGGGTTTTAGTGTCAAAGACGTTTGAGAAACACATACTTTCTTAGAAAGTGCATCTAAGTTCACTGAAGGTTCTAATTTAAATGTCCTACAGATGAGGGGAAGACAGCACATATGTAATTTCTGTTAGCTCATTGTTTTCCAGATTAATTTGATCGCAGAAATTTGTCTTGAGTAACAACTGGTAACATTCCAAAGATGTTCCACAGAACCCACTTTGGGGAAATTCTGGTATATTGAAATGTTGCTGTTTTCTCATTCACCATGAGTTTTAGTAGTAGGAGTACAGTTGATTGCAATTTAGAAGCACCAATCCTTTCATTGTAAGAGGCTGACTTGTTAATAGAAGCAATGTTAAAAAACAGTATGATTTAATATGACCACCAGCAGCCTCACAGTGAGAGCAGAAGTCTAACAATCGTATTAAGACTATAAATATCATTTCCCTCCTCTTACGTAAACAATAAGAAAGAAATTTGCCATAGCTGGGCAGTTCTCAAATTCATTCCAGTAGGTCTCAGTTGATTTTTTACAGTTATCTTTTCTTTCCAGATTGAATCAAAATATTTTTATGGTTCATCATGATGAAATAATAAAAATATAGAAAAATAAAAATGGGTAAAATGCATATTTGATTTTAATTCACTTGAAATTTTAACTAGATTTTTAAGTGGAGTATCTATTGTATAGTAATGTACATGTAAACTGTTCACACCTGTTTATTCTCTCTCCTCTGTTGCTCTCTCCAGAGTCAATGAAATAACTTGAAATCAAGTAGAGATAGAATGGCCTAAAACTCCTATCTCGTGTCATCCTACCTTTCACATTTTGTACACATGGTTAAGCTTGGTGGGCTAGCTCTTGTCTGAAATGTAAGGCTTGACCATAGCTCTGTACTAGTCACTCTCAGCCTGTAAATTTGTTTAGGAGACTCTGACAGATAATCCCCAAATAATTGATGAAACATGACATGGATGAATTTGGGGTAAAGTCTCTAATTTTAAATTACAGTCAATATTTAGGAATTTTTCTACCCGCAGGATGGTGTCTAAAATAGTAAAAAAGCTGAAAATAAGATCCCTCAGGCTAAGTAACAGATCACAAAGGGCATAGAACAGTTGGTACCATGAAGCTTCCATTAAATATGTGTTTCTAGTTGTTTTCTAATATGTAAATTTTTGCTGATTCTTAGTAATGTTAAGGCTTTGTCTGTTATTTGTTCTATTTAATGTTAAGCTGTGTACTGTTAAACCAAGAGTTGATTCTGATGATCTTTATGTGTTTAGAAATGACACACCATCACATGTACAACCACTTTAATAAATCCAAATTGAGGTCTTTGATGAGAACATGGAACTGTTCATTTTGCTAAATCATCAGAGGCATTTTCACTGTTCAGAACTTCACCAAAGAGCAAGTGTAAGCAAAAGAATTGATGATATTTAGAGATATAGTTCCATTTATTCTAGAAGTCCAATAGTCTGGCATTGTTTAAACACAAAATCCCATATGACATTTGCTGAACCTGATTTAATAATTTTGAAAACCTCCTGCAACCAGCATCCCAGCTCTGAGCACAGATGATTGTAAAGGCTCTGGTGGCAGATGGGGGAGGGGCAAAAAGTCTGCCTGGGTCACTTGCTGCCTATACAGGAGAGGGCTGTATCTCCCACATGTTCTCTCATCACCTTCTGAAGCAACTCAGCAGCTAATTGGAATATCATGCATTATTTCAGAAATGTCTATTTTAATTTGATGATTCATAATTTAAATGTGTTCATGCAGAAGCAAAGGTAGGAATACTCAAGGAGCTAGGGCATGGGGGAGACTTTAGGACAACCAGAAATGAAGAACATATCCGTAGTTTATCTGAAATGTGGATTACCAGATTTACCATACACAGCTCATGTTTAATAACAATTTCTGACAACCCTACATAGATTGGTAGAAGGCAGCTGCAACTGCTTTTCAAAGCGTTAGCCAACACTCTAAAAGGGAGGCCTGTCTTATCAGCAGTGAAAAGTGATATAATTACAGTCCCTATTCCATTTTTTCCCAGTGAAGACAGGTGTGACTCACATGTGGCTCTCCCAAATACCCTTACTATCCCCGGCTCTATACACATACCAGTTCCTAGACATACTATAATCATGAATCCTTAGAATTTTTCCATTTTCAAAGAGGAAATACCCCTTTTTCAAATTTTAAAAAATACTAAAATAGGCTTTCATTTTAAAGTGCCCCCCAAAAATTGAAATCAGTTAAACATAATCACAGCTACAACTGGGAGTGTTTTAACTGGTTATTTCCCAGACCCCAACCTGAGTACTAGTAAGTATCCAATTTATGACAGGTAATTCCACAAAAATGAACTCCAGGGCGTGTTCTTGCTTCATAGAATATGAAAGGTCATGTGACTCGCTTAAAAAATCCTGTAGAGATTATGTACTAGACGTCTTACCCAAGAGAATGCTGTCTCCTGTGTAGATTTTAAATCTCCTCACCTTAAGGTAAGGACAAATGGTGACTGCTGAGTGTAATGAAAAGTTCTGCCACACGGAGAGCCTAGACCCGTGCACATTAAGCAAGCACATCATGAATGCTCTTATTTAGGCTCCAAGGCTACAACCAAGCAGTCTTGATGTATTTATCATCTTGATTATTCTTTTATCTCAGGTATGTATTCAGAAAGTGGAATAATACAATGGAAAACTCCACAACTTTTGCTTCCATTTTATTTATTTTTTATTTTTTTTATACTTATTTCTTATTGTTTATTTATTTTTTTCCTTTATTATTCATATGTGCATACAAGGCTTGGGTCATTTCTCCCCCCTGCCCCCACCCCCTCCCTTACCACCCACTCCGCCCCCTCCCTCTCCCCCCCACCCCCTCAATACCCAGCAGAAACTATTTTGCCCTTATCTCTAATTTTGTTGAAGAGAGAGTATAAGCAATAATAAGAAGGAACAAGGGTTTTTGCTGGTTGAGATAAGGATAGCTATACAGGGAGTTGACTCACATTAATTTCCTATGCGTGTGTGTTACCTTCTAGGTTAATTCTTTTTGATCTAACCTTTTCTCTAGTTCCTGGTCCCCTTTTCCTATTGGCCTCAGTTGCTTTTAAGGTGTCTGCTTTAGTTTCTCTGCGTTAAGGGCAACAAATGCTAGCTAATTTTTTAGGTGTCTTACCTATCCTCACCCCTTCCTTGTGTGCTCTCGCTTTTATCATGTTGCTTCCATTTTAGAAAGCTATGTTTGCCCTTTGTTAATTTTTCTGAATACATGCATACATTGAAACATGAATATCTGCCACAATGTCTTTCAGTTTACTCTCCAAGTACTGAAATAAACAGTTTTGACTTATAGCACGTACATTACCTCAATTAGTTCATACAAAATCTATTAAATAACACCTTGACATTCCTTGGGCAGTCAGGAGAAAGAAAACAAAAAAAAAGGAATTTTGGGGAGTTCAGAAGAATGATTATTCTGAAACAAACCTGGAAAGTAGTCATTAAAGAGTTAAAGACCTCAGTGTGGACTCCGTTCATATCCATTATTCCTATATGGAAAACATATGTTTTTAAAATATATATAGATAAGTATCATTGCATTTGTAACAGATTTTTCTACCTTATGAATAGGTTTCACTGGAAACACTGGTTTTTTTTGTTATTCATTCCTCTGTTAACTTTTTTCTAAGCACCTACCATGTGCCAGGCAGTGACTAAGTAAATGTTTCCAGCAATGAACAGTTAGGTACATTGCTGCCTACTTGGGGCTTTCAGTTAAGCAGGGTCCTCACAGAAGTTATAATTCTTTATTGGCTGAATGGAGTAAAAATTGGTATCTTTCATGATTCCTCCATTGGGCCTAGATATGTAGGGATGTGACAGAATTAGGATAATTCTTTCCTATACAGAATAGTGAATGATAAGAGCTTGCTCACACCCATGTAAACTGCATTAGTATTCCTGAGAATATAAATTAGTGAATTTGTTATATAGAAAATTATTTCTGGAGTACTATAATTTCTTGATTTCAAGTACAAACCAAAGACTAGCCCTTAATATGAGACTTTTCTTTTTAATCACAAGAGAACACCACTTTTTTTTTTTTTATTCATATGTGCATACAAGGCTTGGGTCATTTCTCCCCCCTGCCCCCACCCCCTCCCTTACCACCCACTCCACCCCCTCCCTCTCCCCCCAACCCCTCATACCCAGCAGAAACTATTTTGCCCTTATCTCTAATTTTGTTGTAGAGATAGCATAAGCCATAATAGGAAGGAACAAGGGTTTTTGCTGTCTGAGATAAGGATAGCTATATAGGGAGTTGACTCACATTAATTTCCTGTGCGTGTGTGTTACCTTCTAGGTTAATTCTTTT